TTTCTTTAAAACTCGATGCAAACTGTCCGAGAACCAGTGAAACAGTTTAATTCCAAATTATTTGTCGGATACAACTATTAAACTGTCCACTGGTCAACTAGTCTTCTGATAGTTCTCAATGTATTTTTGAAGAACCCGGACAGACCTAGTATGAGAGCTGTGGCAATATTTTAAGACCAAAAAGATAAACAAAATGATTGAAGTTACTGCATTTAATTTTTTTTCTGTTTCAGTTTATATGGATGGTTGCCTTTTATCTTATTTCCCAAGATTCAACAAGAATATTTTTGTTATTTAGAAAATTAGTTTTTTCAAATCAAGTACATGAATTATTTGCAATTTCTGATATTCATTATTTTAACCGAAGATAGTTAACGTACACCTAAATAATAATGTGATATTTCTGATATTAGAGTAACTTTCTTAAAGATAATAAATATTTGGAGATAATTTATAATACTAGAATGTTTTTAAGTCAAACTCATTAGATAATATTTAGAGAATAACATTTTCGTGAAATTAGGAGTATTTTTTATAGAAACTAGTAAACATTTGTAAAAATAGATTGTACTTTGTATCGAAATAAACTAATATATACAAATAATGATGGTAGGCCGGGTTATCCGGGTTTTACTCACCTGCAAATAATATGGCACTATCGGTTATCTTTAAGTCAGCCCAGAGTGCCATAGCAAATAATAATAACTATTCTTGCCACTCATAAGCTCTTCTTGGGGTTTAACTCATGTAGGTTGAAGTGTAGGAAAATCTATTATTATTGTTGTATTACCATTAATTTAATTTATTTTTCTTGCGAATTTTTAGTAAATATAATTATATAAAACTTTGTATGGTATTTATTTTACCCCTCATAGTTATTTGTCATAGAATTTTACATTTTTATTGGCATTTCATAATTGCAACAAACAGCTAATAAAAAAGCAAAGTTTTAAATATAATTAAGAGGAGAAAAATTTACTTTAGCAATTATCTTTTTCTAACCAATACGAAATAGAGCTATGGACATTTCTAGTTTATTTTTAATTTTTAGTGAATGAATAATATGTACATTAGGTAAAAGTGAAATATTTGTTTCTCTGGGGCCACTATTCTGAAATCTGATTTATTTTCTCAAAAATTGAGAAAGTCTTTATGAAACAAAATTTTGCGATTTTTGCCATCAAAATTGATCAAATTTTAAAAAAGTGGCTCCAGAGGAACGAACGTCTACCTTCACTTACATGTTTTTCTTTCACTAAAAATGAAAAAAAATAACTGAAATTTTGGATGCCTATATTTCGTATTAGATGGAAAATAATAATTGTTAAAATAAATGCTCCTCTTAATGGATGTAAAATAAGCCCGCCAATTTTCAAATTAAATATGGTATTACGGGCAACTGCATTACCAACAGAGTAATGATTGAACAGCTAATATTGCAGGTAACTATATTACCGACAGAGTAGGATTAGTTGAACCACCCGCTTCCACAGGTCGCTGCAAGCAAACTTGTTGCCAAATTTCTATAAAGATACGGCAACTCTTAATAATCTTTCCTCCATGGGATAGCTTAGTTTCGGCTCTATCAAGCTAGCGGGCACTCTATGGCGGCACCATGCAAGACCTGCCGGGTTTTTTGTAGCTTTTTTGTAGCTTTTTTGTTACGCTATTTGCGAATTTGTAGCTTTGCCCAGGTCCGAAAAAACAGCGGATCCGCTAGCTTGAATTTCCATAAATTCCATAGTAGCGGCACAGATTCAGACCCAGCTGGTTTTTCGTAACTTTTTTGTAGCTTTTTTGTTACGCTAGTCTCCCTTTTGTAGCTTGTACTGAACCTGAGAAAAGCGCGGATCCGCTAGCTTAGCGGATATTTGTAGCGGCACCAGCTCGGACCAGGCTCATTTTTTGTAACTTTTTTGTAGCTTTTTTGTAGCTTTTTTGTTGCCTGTCTCCATTTCGTTGCGAGGCCTGAACGTGATTAATAATCGTTTCTCCATGATCGTGAGAGAAAAGTGCGTTAATTTAAAATCAAGTTTCGGCATCTGCAAGTAATATGTGCAACTCGATAGTGTGATTATCTGTTGCTAGATGGCACCAGTATTGCATTTCACGAATTATGGCTCTTCCATCCAATATATTTTTGAGAAATTTAGATATGATCTCAAAATCGGACATTTGTTTTTAAATGTTTTTTAGTGTTGTTTACGTATTTATACTTTTGTTGAATCAAGAATATTCTTACATCTTTTTTGAATTATTTCCTTAACCAATCGTTTTGCAGTATTTATGGACCAGTGTTTAATTCTGTCGGATCACACCTATACAGTGTGTTCCATCTCAGACGAGCCACCTCGTATATTTATTATCCCATAGTAATTGGAAAAATTTCCCGTAACACGTAGGATGATTTTCTTTGGGGGACATCTTTTGACGTATTTTTGAGGCTTGAACCAGCAACCTTCTATGAGGAGGCGCTTCAACCCCTCAAAATGGAATAGGGAAGAAGGGTTGAGTGATACATCATTTGTAAGGTCTTGAAAGCCTCTTTACAACGGTGTATGAAAAAAATCACATTCTTAAAAAAATTGTTTTATCACAAATGATCGAAGAAACGTGATAAACACCTTCTAAGAACAAAAAATGAAGGCAAGATAAGAAAATGTTTTGATTTTTTTTTATTTATTAGTTCGAGAGAATTTATTATTGCATGGAAGTCAATGGAAGACAAATTGAACATTTCATTTAAAAACGCAGTTTTGATTTTTTTGATTGTAAGCATGATAAAACAATTGATTTTTTTTTAAGAATATGATTTTTTTCATACACAGTTGTAAAGAGGCTTCCAGGACCTTACAAATGAAGTGTCACCCAACCCCTCTTCCCTATTCAATTTTGAGGGGTTGAAGCGCCCCCTAATAGGGGGTTGCTCGTTCAAGCCTCAAATATACGTCAAAGAAAATCATCAGATGTGTTTCGGGAAATTTTCGTCTGAGATGGAACACCCTGTATATAGTGAGAATATGTAATTGCTTGGTAGCTATATTACCACCGGTGTGAAGTTATCACTCAGACAGCACACCAAATCCTTTGGATATCTACTGAACATCCCAATATCCACTGAATGTCCAGTCCATGGTAGATATCTATTTTATATCCATGAAATGTAATTTATAGACATGCAAATGTCCATAAATAATAGTAATTATATAGCAAATTATTAAAAAATTACGCCATTGTGCTCGCCATTGTGGCTAATAGTACCGTTCAGATATTTAAAATTAATTTTTTTAAGGTGGATTCAATATCCCATGAACATCCACTAAATATATCAAAGTCCAGGCGCGAACGCAAACCATCGTGGATATCCACTAGATGTTATTTGATTCTGTTTACTAAGTATAGATGGCGATACCACTATCGCATCTACTCATGCTCGACCCGCCGTAATTGAGTTCGATCGAAATTGGTGTCCTAATCACTCCATTAGAGACTGGAGTCGAGAATTTTCATTTATTGCTGAAGAGTCCTAATAAGGATGACTTTCTTCTTAGTGGGCAAAATCAAAAGCAGAGAAAATATTTTGAGTGTTGAAAATATTTTTTATCTCTGCTATTTTCTTTCGACGTTATTCAATAATCATTGGTTACTTATGAACCTCTACTAAAGATACCCATAAAATATTTTGCTGAATATTCGAATATCTTCTATATCCTGGGATATAGACGGACATTTGGATATCCATATTAGATCCACTGGATATATTGGATCCACAAAATATATTCTGTGGATATCTCTGGGATTTCTTGTATTGTCTGGAAAATACCCATTAGATATTTTGCTGGATATCCATAGGATATCATCTATTTTCTGGATATAGACGGACATTTGGACATCCATATTAGATCCACGGGATAATTCTGATATCCTGTGGATATATTGGATATCCACAAAAGATATTCTGTGGATATCTCTGGAATTTGGTGTGATGTCTGGGTATAGATTTTACTAGTTATAAAATAAATCTAGTTACCCTTTATTAACTGCCCTTCGTACTAATAAATTATCACTAAAACATCTCAAGCAGTTACAAAAATTTTAATTAATAACTGTAGCATTCTGTATTTTCCTAACGAAACATTTTTTGACCATTGGTTTATTAAGCTATCAATATTTTTCTATGTTTAAGAATCTTTTTTTATACATAATTCCTTAAATTCTGAGATTCCTTCAATAAATATCCTCCTCCTTTTGACATTTTCAGTTATTCCTATTAATAATTGATTTTCTTTTCAGCGAATATTCGTTAAGAAAAATTTAAATCGCTGCACATTTCTCGAGTTATTCGGTAGCACGATATCAATGGTTTAAGCTCATGTTCATTTCACCTCTGACATAAAAGACGTTTTTTCTTAGAATGTATGTCCTTTGATGTTTACATTAAGTATACTTTGGATGTACCTTCTAGGATCAAATGGACAAGTGTTGCTATAGAATTGAACATGATGCGTTGATTATTAATATCGTCGGGAATAGAAGATTTGTCCGGGAAAATCAAGTGGAAATAATGGATATTATGGAGAAGCTTAGCGTTGGAACAACAAATAGGACAGAGGGCGAAGGAGGAATGAAAGGCTTCAAATGGTGAGTCTTTTGATGGTGTGATATGGTGAGTCTTTGTGTGATATGGTGATGGTATCTTTTCAACTTCAAATAAATAATAACATTGGACCTACTAGATATTATTTTACAAAAATTTAATTGAAAGAAAAACTGTTAGAAATAGTTTTTGAAAATATCTTTCTCGCTTTGATTTTGTGTCTTTTACTTTTAATTTGTTTCTCTAACTAGCTTTTGATTATAACTATGACTTCAATTTACCATAGGTTAGTTCTGTTCTAAGCCCAAATTGTCATTGAAGTATTGTTCAGTCATTAATAAATAAATTAGAACTTTTATCAGCTGATGCCAAATAGGTTGGTATAAAATAGATGTATATAAAAAAAATAATTTATTAACAATAAAACATACAAAACAACATGCAATCATTTAAATTTCCAAACAATACCGGGTTTTTTCTCACTTAATGGTACTTGTTCGTATTGCGGAATAGGAGTAACTTTTTTATTCGCTAAAACGTTAGATTTCTTAAAGTTCACTAAACACACCAACGCGCCTAAAAAGGAAATACATCCTAGAAGTATAACGGAATATAGGAAGTACGAACTGTATTCGGGGAGATTTTGTAGCAACCACAGGCCTTCTGCTACTTCGTCTGATAGATGAGCTATGTGGTTGATGTGGAATATCGGCACGTAAACTTTCGGCACCTTTTCGTATAAGCTGGAAATTAAGTTGTGTTAATTTTATTTTAATAGCAATTGTGTAGTTAAAAAAAATCAATACCGATGACGTCTTTAGAAAAATTGAAAAATTATATTTCAACATACTTATTTTTTACCGAAATCTTTGTTTTACAATATCTACTATCTTTATATTATTTCTATATAATTTTTGTAAAACTTCAGCAAGATTGAAATATTGATAAATAGAAAAACATTTTTCTGATTGTGGGAAAATTTTGAATTTGAAATTCATATAAAGTAAATTTCATAAAAATAAAAAAACTAGTTAAATAATTATATACAGGGTGGTCTACCTAAGTCGACACCATGTATGGGAAACTTTTATTATTAGTTTTATGCCAAAAAGTTCTTTATCAAAAGTTCTAAAACGTAAAATACAAGTCATCAGATATTAATTTGTTTTTTAGTCATATACTAGGTTTGTCGAAAAATATGAATGCGCAATACCGAAAATTATTATTAAGAAAAGATCATATTTAAAAACTATACACGTTCAGATATTGTTCTATTTTATAAATTCTAACTAGTCTTTACGATTACTGTGTTTAATTTATTTTTTAATGTATTTTAGATTAAATATCAATGTGTAGACATAAATTATTAATGCCAAATGATACTACTGAAAAAAGTTAGTAAAAATAAGATCTTTTTCTTTGTAGATGCATAATATTGGATATCTGACCGTAGTTTTCGATTCTAATCAAATTTTATTAACAATTTTCGATATTGTAAAAAATGAAGATTGTATAATTTGGGTTTTAGAGCATACAGAACTTTTTATAAAGAATAACTTTTTTTGATAAAACTAATAATAGAAATCTGATGTATCCAACATATTACTTTTTACTTTCCTATCTGTATACAGTATAGAAATTATAATTTTTTTCGACCTCGAGTTTTCGACGGATTTTTACGTTTTGGGGTCCCCTGAATCCATTTTGACTATTTTCGCAATGATGTCTGTGTGTATGTCTCTATCCACGATAACTCATAAGTATAGCGGGTCATTTTTACTTTCCTATCTGTATACAGATAAGAAAAGTATAGGAATCATGATTTTTTTATATTTTATAAAATATATGATATTTACTTTTGGAGAAGAAAATTCTTTAAATAAAAGTTACTTCTAATATTATTCTCTATAATTTTTGTGTATATAAAATTTTCCTAAAATTGTCCGTATTCGAGAAATTTTTCAAAATGTAAAAAATTCTAATTTTTAAGAAAATTGTTGAACTAAAAGATGTTAGTGATATCGATCTCCATAATTTCGTTTTTTACATGATTTCTCTAAAATGAATCGTAATAGAAAAATTAGAGGAAAAGTACAAAATTTAATTTTTTTTAGCATTTTCATTGGCAATGAGGGTATATAGAAAAATGTTTCGAGTTAGATGTATGTGGAAAATGTAAATGTTTACAGAGGTGTTACAATAGGTTGTACAAAATAACCGAAAAAAACCTGTAATAATTAAATAGGAAAGACACGCATCATCGCGAAAATAGTCATGACGGATTCAGGAGACAACAAAACGTAATAATCCGTCGAAAACTTGAGGGCGAAAAGATGATGATTTCTATACTTTCCTTATTTATAAGCAGGAAAGTAAAAAAGTTTCCCAATATGATCACAGATTTAGAAATGGCAAAAAATGTAACTTACCGTATACTAGAAATGGGCTGCAGTAACATATTAACCTGCATACCACCTTGAACTTCCATTATGATTCCAGTTTTCTATAAAAGAGTTAAAAATTTTATTTTTTTTTTTAAATTCTAAATTTATTTAAAATACTATTTAAGTTTAAACAAGGGCGGCTCCAGGCCAAATTTTCGAAGGAGGTGGGGAAGTGAGGGAGGGTTGATTGCTAATAAAAATTTATTTTTAATAAAAGATTCATGAATAGTATGAATTTTAACTTCGAAGGGGTCATCAGTTTATTAAATAAAATAATAATATATTTATTAACATATGTTAATAAAATTAGCTGAGAGTTGATATGTAAGACATAAATATTAAATTTATTATTCAGAATTAGTTCAATAAATCTAGATTTTACTAATAATTTTGCGTTTTGTTCCTTTATCAACAAAATCTTCATAAAGTGTCTGGTGTGCTTCACAGAACACAGAATAAACGAATAATGACTTTAACACTGTCACACCTCATCGTATAATACCTACCAATAATAATAATCTAAATCAATTAGGGATTTTATAGAGGTTCTAACAATATGTATAATAAACACGGATGTTCTAAATATTTTTTCCGTAAATCGATAGGAAATGTTGACATTCCAAACAAAATTTCTTAAAGAAAGTCAAGATTTCCTAACAGTTAGGAAATCTTGACTTTTTCTTTAGTTTGACAATTCAACATTAATACGTTTCCATAGTAACGCAACCAATTTTATTACGAATTTCAAAGCATTTGTGAATAAAATTATTCGCGATTTTTTCACTATTAATTAATATCTATCCAATTTTAAACAATTTGCGGAAAAATAGTGTGTTTACTTCGTAAGAAAAGTCACATTCCTGTGTTGCTAAGTCTCGGCTTGCGCTTCGACTTAATTCTGGGGCGCTCCCTCATAAATAGAAAGGTAATGTAAAGCCAAAACTACCCTTTCACTTAGCATTCCATCAGGCGTAGCCAATTTGTAACACTTTTCGCGACACATTCGTTACATTTTACTTTAAGTCGTATCAATAAACCCTTTTCGAATTCGATTTACTTACCGGTTCGACAATCATATAAAATTCATGAAGGGTTTTATTGGGTTTCATACCCTTCACCGACTCTCGATAGACGGGGTCAGCGTTGAAGAAATGCGGGAAAGACAAGAACGTCGGAGATCCCATTCGACATGAGGACACGTTGAAAACGCCTGTAGGGATACATTCTCCTGTGCAGTAACAGGAATTTTCTGGATAAACTGTACCTGAAAAAAATATTAAAAAACATCAATATAGAAAGAAGTTGTTTTATAATTGAATGTCAATATTTTTAGGTCCATTTTAAGAAGATAACTCCTAAACGTCTTAAACTAAGGTTTTTAAAAATAAATAATTTTTTAATATTTGAAATACCATTCTAAATATTTTAATTGAAATTAGGTATACAAGTACTAAGCACCAAGAGGGAGACATTTTTTAATGTAACACATTTCTTATTTCCACCAGAGGCGTTCGTGCGAAATCTGACTTGCTTATTTTGGCAGACATTGATGGTACATCACTGATTTATCTCAAAATTAATATCATTTTAAATTTAGCATTAATTTCTAAGCAAATTTGATCACTTGATTTTTTTTCAATCCGATGCACTGTTTTTTCGAAAACCGGTCATAACAATATCGTTAGTATCACCCCAGCAAATTGACCCCCCTTGAAAAGGTTCTGGATCCGCCCTTGTCAAACTATGGTAATCAATGAAAATGCATTTTATTTCAATAACAAAAATTTTTTATATTTTTGAACTTTCTGTATGATTTATTTTGCAAAGTGCAAATACCTCCTCCAATGAAAATATTTCAGGTGAAATATTTTATGAACCATCCAGAATAAGAATATATGTTTTTACACGATTTCCAAAGAAAATTAAAAATTGAATTTATGAAATTCAGTACCAGAAACAGTCTAATTTTTATTCATTATTGATCTCACAGATTTTCTTCATAGCCAGATTAATTTAAGATGTAAATAAAATTCGTTCATAATTAGTTTTCGAAAATAATTTAAATTTCGCGTAGAAATTTCTTTTAAAAACTATTTGTATTTTGTGTATTAATTTTAAATTCTATTTTCGTATTTCAATAATATTTTCAAACTATGTTTACACATGATAATTATTTCTTTGTAATAAACTTATATATAACTATTTGTGAATAGTATCTCATATTTTATTAAGCAAATAAATTTACTTACCATTATCAAACCCATATTCAGCAGAATATTTATATCCCTTAACACCTTTCACTACAACATCTTCAACGTATTTCAACGCCAAAGTCTTGCACAGATCAGACGAATATAGAAGTATTTGATCTCTTTGTCTATTCAATGGCAGAAATTCTCCAGCTGTACCTTTTACATTGTTGCAATGTCCACTGAAGAAATCCGATTGATTTTTCCCGTTCCACAGAAGAATACTGCCGAATTGATGGTCGTTTTTAAAATGCATGCTGTATGTACCGTCCAAACCTGGAGTACCATTTCTCTGTGAAAAAACAAGATGTAAAATTTTAAATGGTATTATTATTATTAAAAAATTATTCTTACTCCAAAGAACATTCCTCCTTTTTCTGGCACCGCTGATATCAACGGTATTTTGGACAGCAATCCCAATATAGGATCATCGTATCCATCAAACAGCAGCTCCGCAGCAGATTTTGTAATATAAACATCACTGATTTTGGATGATAATCCAAACGATATCATTTTCTTAGTCCAAAAGCTTTGAAATCGCGACACGTAAGTTATACCCTACAAAATCAAACATTTTTACTGGATAAAATTTACTAAATGATTATATGCTTACAACAGCTACAACGTTGAGGGTAGTTATTACGTCGCTTAAATTCCTGGGGCTATTCTTCTGATCGAAAAATGTTGTCGTTGTAGTTACATAGTTGACATAATCATCGTGCCACGTGATGTTTTCTTTACTTCTAATTTCATAGAACCTATAAGGTCCGATTTCTTCAAATTCCGGTTTGATCTAAACAAAAAGTATTAAATCATTTAATAACATTCTAGATTAGGCAATAAATTATGTCTACTTACGGAATGATTTTTGTTTTGGTCCGCATTGGTCCAATTGAAAAAATAAATGTCGGTTTGTACTCGGGGAGTTTTCGCCCAATTTTCGTAGGCAGGAGTACCGGGAGCAAATTTCAAATTATGGTTGATAAAACTGTCGTATATCGATTCGAAAAATATGAGGACGATGCTCCCGAAGCAGATTAAAAATATCCCAGTGAAGAGGAGGCAAAATCGACCGCAATGTTTGGTATCTTGCATTACGGGTCGTCTAAAATATAAAAAAAAATTTTTTTTTAATTGTTATTATCTTTAAATCAATCACATTTCTATAAAAACTCATATCTGATAGCTTAAATAAATTCCCATACCGATTAATTTGACTTAAAAGTCTGGAAAAAATTAGCTTTTTTATTTTATTCGGGTATACCAAATAAATCGACTTTTAAATATAAATGCACAACCTTATTAACTACTCAAAAGAGATGGGGTTTTCATTAATTGATTTCGTTTTATAAAAGTTTTTTTTAAGTTTATTTACATTTATTACTTTCCTATCTGTATACAGATATAAGGAAAGTATAGGAATCATGATTTTTTTCGACCTCGAGTTTTCGACGGATTTTTACGTTTTGAGGTCCCCTGAATCCGTTTTGACTATTTTCGCGATGATGTCTGTGTGTGTGTGTGTGTGTGTGTGTGTGTGTGTGTGTGTGTGTGTGTGTGTCTGTATAACGCATAACTCATGAACCGATACACGGAAAAACACCAACTTTCAAACTTAAGCTTTATTCCAGCGTCTTATGAGCTGATTAGATTTTGGGCAGAGTCGGAACATCTGGGGGGTACTTTATAGGTGGTGATTTTTATATTTTATGGAATATATCTGTTATTTACGTTTGGGGAAGAAAATTTTTTAAATAAAAGTTACTTCTTATTTTATTATCTATAATTTTTGGTATTTACAAAATTTTCCTAAAATGCTCCGTATTCGAGAAATTTGACAAAATGTAAAAAAATATTTTTTTTTATAAAAATTGTTCAAACAAAAGTTGTTGGTATTATAATTCTCTATAATTTTTGTCCCATAGATAATTTCTCTAAAATGGACCGTATTTGAGATATTTGAGAAAATGTGTAAATTTCGAAATTTGAAGAAAACTCAAAAACGGATAAAGAAAAAATCAATTAATTTTAAACTTAAGTTTTATTTCGGCCTGACGTGAAATGATTAGATTTTGGACAAAGTCGGAACATCTGGGGGGGTACTTTATGGGAGGCCGTTTTTATATTTTATGGAATATATCTGTTATTTATGTTTGGAGAAGAAAATTGTTCAAATAAAAGTTACTTCTAATATTATTATCTATAATTTTTGTTTTATGTAAAAATTTCCTGAAATGGTCCGTATTCGAGAAATTTGACAAAATGTGCAAAATTCTGATTTTTATGAAAATTGTTGAACTAAAAGTTGTTTGCGATATCGATTTCTATAATTTTTGTTTATACATGATTTTTCTAAAATGGACCGTAATGGAAAAGTGCTAAATTTAAATTTTTCAGTATTTTCGTTTTCAATGAATATCTATAGAAAAATGTTTCGAGGTAAATGTATGTGTAAAATGTATATATTTAGTTTATCCTCTAGAGATGCTGCAATAGGTTGTACACAATAAACGGAAAAAGCCTGTAATAACTAGATAGGAAAGTCATGTGTTGGACACATCAGATTTTTTTTATCAAATTAATGCAAGGTGATCCATCGGTGTATCTTTTGGTTCTAGTGGAGTAACGTCTAGAATTTTCGTAGCAAGTTTTGGTGAATGCAAGAATATTAAGATATATAAATAGGCCACGTTTGCTGTTATGGACGGTTCAAGACAGGAAATCAGTACACATTAATGTCATTAATATAAATTACTATACAAAGTAAAAGTCCATATAAAAGTATTAAGTATAAATAAATTAGTCTTAAAAAACATAAACATTATAGTAGTTATTACAGGGCGATTATCAAAATAAATAATCGATTATTTAAATTAATCGATTATTTTGACCACCCCTAGTTATTACATCGGTCATTAGAAACAATTTTTTGTGGTTCCACTTTATTTTGAACAATAAATTAAAATGGTCCCTGTCTTATTGCGTTTTTGAAAAGTTTTTTTTTTTAAATAGCCTTGATTGAAAGCATTCATTTAATTTTAAAATAATTATCAATATTTATCTGGGACAGTACAGTGATACCGTTTTAATGTTATCAAATTAACCTTTTAAAAAATATTGAATAATTATAATGCATCGCGTATTTGTTTATTGTCAGATACATAGAATATACCTATACAGAGTGAGTATTAACCCTTTAATCTCTAGTGAACATACGACGTACATCCTTAAGCTATACTTTTGGACGTACTAACGAACGTCACATAATAATTTATCGAGAACTCCGATAATATTTGTTTACCTTTTCTTCAGTTATGGATTGCACACAAAAAAATCCTCAAGTGCTTTCTTGAAGACTTGATAAAAAAAACGTTTACAAATCATTCAACATTCTTAGCTTCTGTAACGTAAAAATTAGTCAAATTAAACAAATTTATTTAATCATAACGTGTGTGGGATTCTGTTTATTTATGGTTGACCGTTGAAATAAATAACAGTTGACATTTTGGATTAAAATTTGTGTTTATAATGTACCTATATACTTTAATTTGAAAATATGTATTTTTAAAAACCAATTTTTACGGTTTTTCTCGCAATAGAACAATTAAATAATTAATTAATTCCTTAATTGTGCTTAATTCCCGCAATCCAGCTGTCAGTCTTTTAATCGGAAAAACCATACATTCAAACTGATGGATTGATGTTACATCGATTACAGCAACGTTGGATAAAAACACAACTTTGTTAATTCATCATTGCATTGATGAAAAAAGACAGGGCGATACCAACGTTGGTACAACAATTAAATAAAAAGACATACATATACCCATCTAAATGTGTTATTTTAATTTCCGCGGAGATAATGTAAATGTAGCTGTAGCTCCGAAATTATGGCATTAAGGTATAAGGAACATTGCATGAAAAATAATCAGTATCACTTAAGGATTTCAAAAAACAAAAATATGGAGTGATACATTTGAAATAACAAAGTTCATTAAATTTCCAGAAAACCAAAGATCTGATAACAATGTAAATACAATCATAATGTCAACCGTATTACAGAAACTTTACATATCATAGTAAATATATAAAAATCGTGCAAGCCGTTTCCGAATTATTGAATTATTGAATTATTCCATACTTAAAACTCACTCTGTTTACTATAAATATATTAATTGATCGGGAGTTACAAGATCCTGAAATTAATCTTTGTTGTCCACTTTAATTAAAAAAAGCTTTCATGTACAGATTGAAAAATCAAATAAGTTGAAACGTAAACAGCTCTAATTAATTACAGTTATTATGGTAAATTTCCAATAAATTATGCATACATCAGAGTTTGTTTATAATTTGTTGAAACAATATAGTATTGGTGGGGGTTTCCTCTATTTTGTGTATTGGGCCCTACTAATGATCTGTTAAACTTTGACGATGTTATAAATTAGAAACGCATATCAATAACACATGTTTCATTCTCAAGATCCAACCAAATTTGAATTTTAATAAATTTTCTAAGAGGTTTTAAACAAGTTATACAAGTATTAAAAGTAATTTTAAAAAACCGACTTCAAAATCGTGCGATGCCATCACTACATCTTGACTAAAGTTATATGGGACCACCCCTGAGGTACCCCCTTACTAACAAAAAAAAAGAATCCTAGAAATCCGACACTGTGTTAAAGAATTATCGCGGAACATATATAAAAAATGAAGAGTTTGAGGATTTTCTCATGGACCCAAATATTAGATTTTGACCAAATGCAGATGCGACCACCCCTGAAGTACCCCTTCCAAACAAAAAAAAGAATTATCGCTTAACATGCATAAAAAATATTCCTCTTCCTTTTTTGAAGTCGGTTAAAAAGTAATTTTAAAAACAGACTCCAAAATCGTGCAAATGCCTTCACAAATTGATTTTCTCATAAATTCCAACATCAGATCTTGACCAAATTTATATGGGACCATCCCTGAGGTACCCTTTTTGTAACAAAAAAAGAATCACAGACATCGGACCACGGGGTGAAGAATTATAGCTGAACATACATTAAAAAAATTGCAACTAATTAAGAATCTACAATTGGCAGACACTAAAAACATGAGCCAACTGGGATTAAAATATAGATATACAAAATACAAAATTAAATTATAAGGTATTATAATTTTGATTAAATTATATTTCTTCAATTGCCCTTTAAAATTAAAGAAAAAATCACATGGTCTGAACTAGGATTCTGCAAAACTCTGAATATATGTTTGATTTTTAATTACAGTTAGAAAATATAAAAACAAAAGTTCAATTTTATTGTAATTAAGTTATTAATTTTAAAACCTTTAACTGTATGATTTCTTTCTAATGAATAAATGAACGAATAAATGAATTATTAAAGACACTAATTGTTACCTGAGCATTTATTAAGTTTTATCCTGGTTTGATTGACACATTTTTATTTGCACTCGTTCATTATTTTAGATTATTACTCAAAAATTGATAGAATAATGACTGATATAAAAAAGAAACTTTGTATGTGTTATCGATTAAATCTAATCAACGATAAATACATTATTTGCACAGATTTTATTTGTATTGCTATTTAAATTTTTTCATTTATCGAATTGCAAATTTGGACTGATTAGTTTGATATCGCCTACCTTTGTTTTCATAAATCGGGTACTGTCAAACCAAACTAAAAATGCTACTAAATTGAAATTGTTGTAAATTGAATTAATTCTAAAATTGTTTCATTGTTGGATTGTTAACATTGTAAATGTCTTAAGTGGTGTCTCGTTTCCTGGCATAACTCTTTTTTGCGACTGAATGTATACGGGGTAATATTCAAAATGTACCAAAATGCTTATGAAACTCGTAATAATTAATTTGTATATGGGATGATTCATAAGGAATAGGTAAGTAATATTTTATACCTGCAAATTTTATAGCGTAAAATATTAATTTTTTGCTTGATATGGATGAGATAAAAAAAAACAAAAATTATGTCTCATTTGATTTCATACGTCCAAAAACCTAATTGTACAGCCTTTTGTTTATGTGCGAAAGAATAACTGAAATAAGACATTTTTGAACTATTTTTATAACTTTACCCCCTCAGTAAGTATTCATATTTGATCTCTAGTTAATAAGCAAATAATTAATATTTTTCATTATACAGGTAAAGTTACCCTGTATAAAGAGTTTTCTGAAATTGAAATTTTTTAACACGTGTATAATAAATTATTCTATTTTTAATAGAATTTTGTTTCTGTAGCTTTTTGAGTTAGAAAATTGAAATATTTTTGGATCTAGCGTTGAAGAAAAGTATATTTTAATTCTTTATATTATTATATCTTCACCTGCATAGAAACAAAGTACTAGGCATTTGTTTACCTTGACTTTGGTCGAAATACAGGTGACACTTCAATATTTTATCTATAAAACCACTTATAATTAAACGATATATCTAAGCAGATTTCATTAAAACATTATTTTTTATTTTTAAAGTTATTTTACTTTTTAAAAATAACTCGTATGATTGTGCAGAAAGAGTGGTGTCTAAACTACGAGGTAGTTCTTATCTGTTGTATGAATATTTTTAACACAATTGAAAGACCAAAAATCTTCCGGACACCTTTAAAAAAAAACTAACAACTACATTTTTGGCCTCCGAATTTCATGAAAATTTAGGAACTTTTGAAAAAATATGAATTTCTATATAAAAATTATTAAAAATTGTTTTCGTTGTCTTCAGAAGGAAATTTCTGTTTTTAGAAAATACTCTGTGTAATAAAAATCGGAATTACAAAAAAATTTTTTTGACAATAAGAATGAAAATTTTAATATGAATTCTTTATCGATTTGATCTCTTTCTGTCCTCTTTCGTTCTGATTCTTAATTAATTTTGACGGCGTATAATGTTATTATATTGTTTACTCTCAGTAATTGGATCAGGATTCATCCATATTCACTGAAATAAAACTTTCGTTGTTATTTGAGTTTTATTTAGGCGGGTATTTCGATTAATAAAAGAAATTGTCTTGAAAGGGGTTTCCATGGTGATTGAGAAAGATATTGGATATTGAAAATATCAATGAATACCCACCTATTGAATTTTTCGTTAAATTCGAATGAATTTCAATAAACAGGTAGTTGTAAACGGGCAAAATGCAAAGAAAATACAATGTGGATGACTTTATCTTTTTGAAAAAATAATAAAAATTGTTATCAAAAATTGACAAATTATCATATCATTTCAAATAAAAAAAAAATCATATTTGTCTGTATTATTCTAAAAAAGTTTTGAGTTCAAATATTAAATAGCATATTTATACACCAATTAGGAATTAAAAAATTATAAAAATAAAAAATATGTTGTTTTCTATTCTGTAATATAAAACAATTCGTATTATCAGACAATCCGTTTCAAAAATGAATAAAAACTCGCTAATTTATGGTAGGCGTATAAAATTAAAAGATGTTTTTGCGCGCCTACGACTTACATATTTGTCTCTGTATTTTTAATATCTACAAAAATATTCTTGCAAGGCTTTGTGTTGCAGTCAAACAAGTTATAGGTAGTAGAAGTAGTAGGTTCTTTTACACAGGTGAAGAAACCTCTTTTTTTTACTTTTAGGTACCTTGAAAATTACAACTGGAATAAAAACGAGAAAATTTAATGATTATCTTTATGGTTTTTGTCTGTCAATAACCTTATTAAACTAGTTTCATTTCATTTTGAACCAGATTACTTTATATAAATTAACAGAAGAAAATATTCTAATAATTATTCACCAGTTAGTAGATAATCATATTTATATTTGTATTGAAAACACAAGAAATACATATTGAAATTGACTCACCCTGCAAATGTATCTGTTTTGGCATTCTTTTACAAGCACTAACATTTAAAATGAAATTATTTTTTAAAGATAATAATAATAATACTCTCCCTAATTCACCCCCTTACGAGTGAATTTTAACCCCAAAAGCTGAGCTTGTGCGGGAAAAGGGACGGCTATTATTATTATTTGCCGTGGCGCTCCGGGGCGACTTAGAGATGATTGATGGTGCCATTTGACTTACAGGTGAGGAAAACCCGGAAAACCTCACCCACCATCATAACACATTATGTAACTACCCATTCGGACCTTACTAATAAAAAGGTTGTTTTCCACAACAAGAGAGATAATTAACAAACCACAAGTTTCAGTATGTTTATGATTGATCAATATCTGACGAAATGTATATTAGTTGCAAATATTGTTTTTTTTTTGTTTTTATCAGAACTAAAAATAAATTTTAATCTAACATAACTTAAATCAGTGACTTGTTTCTGATCGCTGTGGGAACTATAAGAGAAGTAGTACTGTTGACAACACACCAAAACAGGTCTGGACCTTCGGAACGGTAGGGGGTGTCTGAAATATTTCGTTGGATATCCCGGGATTCCCTTATAAATAATCCTAAAGAAGTTTTTGGAATTTACACAATCGCAATGTACCATATGTAGCAAACGTTTTGAGTTATTGATTTTCAAGAAAAAAAAAAATAATATCAAACAACATGTATCTGAAGTTCCTCTTACTGTTGTTAATTGTCCTACATTCTTCAAAAACTCATTTTTTACTGTGAGAAGCTGTAGCGTAAACAGTAGATTCAAGGTATCCCCACAGAAAAAATCTAAAAGTGTTAGGTCAGGGGACCGAGCTGGTCATTATATTGGACCGCGTCGTCCGATCCATTTACCAAGATATTCCTCATCTAGATAATGTCTTACTGCGAAGTAATAAAGTGCAGAGCACCATCTGGTTGAAAAGTTATTTCCAATTTATCAAATCCATCTAGAATAATCTAGATTATCTTCTAGAATTTGAAAAATTAACGCTTTAATTGCGTTATTAACATCTCCAGATATACTTCATCAGTTAAGTTAGAATTAAAAAAAAAAAAATAGGCCCGACTATGTGCCCAGACATTTACTTTTGATGGAAATTGTGTAAGTTTTTCACGAAACATATAAGGATTTATGTCACTCCAATACCTCACATTTTGAGTATTAACATCAAGGAAAAATTTCTTTTGTCACTAAAACAGAATATTTTTACATATTCCAGCCTTCGGTCGTGATTGTCATCTGAAAGTTGATGCACCATATTTAATTTGTTTGGGTGAAATTTGTTTTTTTGATCTTGTAGATACTTAAACATCTCGTCAAACAATAATTGAACCAAAAATTGAAGATATAAATACCTGTAAAAACCTCATTTAAAAAAAAACGTCAATTTCTTTGACAATTAACCATAGGAGGACTTTTGAATCTCTATTAATTAAAAGAGAAACTGAAATTTTAGTGTTTATTTATTTAATCCTTCAAAATCACCGTAAATCCAAACAAAACGAGTATGATTGAATAGATATTCTAAATACCTTTCAAACGAGGTGTCACTTGCCATAGCATCCCATTTAATATTATTGGTTCCAGTCGCCTTGTGACGTCATCGATGACTATTACATCACTTGTTACCATTAGTAGTTCAATTTCACCCTCCAAATTTCGTCAGGCTAAGTATTACTGCTCAGAAGAAAAGAGGGGGAAAGGGACTTTTGAAAAGCACTGTATACATTATGGAATATTTTTGAAATAAAGAAATATATACTTACATATATACATGGACATACCTCAATTAATTTACTAATATATCACCGAAAATTAATTGAAAATCATTGAACATTCATTGCATTTAGGCATATCTCCCGACTCTAAAGTTTGTTGGACAACATAAACTGAACCTTATTATTAAACATTTCATGACCTATCTTGTTCACGTGTGAACTTAGCTGACTATTAAAAGTAAAATTAGCAATTTAAATCCAAATTGTAATCTTGTTCTTACTAGTTTGTCAAAATGTATCACCAAATTTCGCAATTAAAATAATGTTCATAAATTAATAAAAATAGTTTTTAATTCTGTAGGAATATTTCTTATTTCTTAACGTCGACACAGAAATGTTAGTTATAATTTTGCATTATTTGGTTATCTTAAAATAATTAAATCAAATATTTTATTAAGAAAACTGGTTGTCAGTTGTGTAGAAACAAAAAAAAATGTACAGAGAAAAATAAAGTTTAAAAAAGAACATTATTGAACCTGGCATCTTCGGATTGTATAGCCGTCCACGCTTTTACTAATTAAGGTCTATGCCCACTACACCGAATCATACTATGACCGTGACCGTACCGGCATAGGCAGAAAAATATTCTTTGTATAGATTTAAATGAGACAATGCCCACTAGACCGGCCCGGCATCGACCACACCATCCTCATTTGAATCTATACAAAAAAAAAATCAGGTCCGGGCACGGTCATAGTATGGTACGGTATAGTGGGCATAGACCTTTAAGCTACCGAGGAACCATGACTTTCGACATCTGAAGTCGTAGATTTAAAATCAATCAGATTCCGACTCTCGTCGGCGCAAACCCAAATTCTTTCTCTCAATTCTTTTTAAAGCCACCCTTGTGACATTGTGTAGAAAGGACGACAATCTATTTGTCCTACAATAAATTTATATAAGGTCTTTCATTCGTTTACCAGTGTTAAGTTTTCGAGTACGGTCCAACTTAAAACAAATGATTTAAAAGTATTCGCCTTCGGGGTATAATATTGGCACCGTTGTAACAAGAGAATGATTTTCCGTGGACAGAATTGTCACATTTAAAATTTTAAAAATAATAGCAGTCGGTTGATCAAAACATGAACGGTGATTGGTAGATTTCATTTTTTTGCAGTGTTCTCACTACCTAAAATGGATATGAAATATATTCGTTTAGTTGAAGGCAATAGCATACTTTTTCGTTTTGTAATATGTGCGTAGATAAACTAATATCCATGTGGGGGTGTAGAAAAAATTATTTTTCTTGCTGCGCCATCTCATCAATAATAATTCATTGAAGGATTTTGCAGATACAGTTAATGATGGGTAAATTATTTTGTGACTCATTTTTGGTTCCATAGTCCGATTCTATAATTATCACATTTTCAATTTCGTTTACAAATTAATATTGATAAATAGAATGAGATCGTATTGAGTGTGATAAATAACGTTATTAGATGTTGATGTACTTTAAAAAATAAGTGTATTCACATTACAGTTAGTTGGGTCAATTTTTTAAAAGCATCGTATAATCGTTGTAATGAAATTTAGTATCCAACGAAAACAAAATGATATCACACACAACAGTATTATTTACCTACGCAATATTACATGTCCTTGACCTAGCTACGCAGAAAATCAGAATTCTGATGATAGACCAGGAAATAGAGATATTGAAAAACCTTATATTTGCAAACACGATGAATACCAAGTAAAATATTCCGTAGGACGGTCAAAATAAATTCGACCTTGGTCGTTTTTATACAAAAATAAGACGATTAAACGAAACATGCGTAAAATGTTACTCGTTTCCGAAATACAGGGTGTTAAAGTTCAAAATTCCAAAATTATTAATGGCTATAAATTTTCTATTATTCAGTAGTATTTATAATTTTATTAAATTCTGCAAACGTTTTTATAGTGCATGTCATAAAATACACCTATCAACAAAAAAAATCAGTTAAATAAACTTACCCAGTGGCGTACGGCATGGGTAAACAACTTCATCCCTTCTAAATTTTTACTTATTTGGAATATAAAATTTTTCGAGATTTTTTAAATATATTTTATAAGTTCCCAACAAGAGTAAACGATTTATTTAGACGTTCTTTATTTGCGTATTAATTCGCCCGCTAGCGTAGACTGCATATCGCGCCGGTATTCAGTGAACATGGGACCGTTTTTGAAATAAATTGACATTTTCATATCGTATCTCGATTAGTTCTAATCGATCAATATCGTGTAATTACTATTTTGTAGGTCTCATTGGGCAGATTCCGAATCACAATGGGCATTTTAGAAAAACTACAAAATATCGATTTTTGACGAAAACATTTCTTTTATGGCACTTTTATAGGACAACAAAAAATTTAAAATTTTATAGTCTTAAGTTTTTGTACAGTGGCGTAAAATTTAAAATGGATGTTTTACCAATGGCGTACGTCACTGACACGTTTGCCGAATTTAGTAGAATTATACTGAATAATAAAAAAATATAGCTATTAATCATTTTTTAATTTTCAACTTTAAACACACCCTGTATTTCGAAAACTAGAAATATTTTAATGTCCTATTCTTAATTTATGTGCGTAATAAATGAGAATGAAAATAATAACTTATTTATTGATTGGTGTGTTTATTCAGTTAACAATATTTTAATAACCTAAACGCAAAATCTTATACCAGAAACCTTGTAAAATTTTTTCAAGGATTTTTTATATAAAAAACAATTTTTATTTGTTAGTGTCAAGAAATTCTATCCTTAATTTTACTTTGTTAAAAATTCCATTCAATATTATAATATAGGGTACGAATAAAGTATTTTTTTTTAATTAGCAAGCAATAATTTTCAAAAATTTTATAATTAATAAAATATTCTATCCTTAATTGTTAATATTAATATTATTATTATCATTATCATTGTTTTTTCTGTATAAACTGTTCTGTCTAGGCATTGTTACTGTTTTCCAGCGCCGCTTTAGGAACGGCACTGACAGTGAATGGTCGAATGGGGAATTTTACCTACGCATAAGATTTAATTATTAATTCATTAAATAAATTAGAAAAATGCGGGAGTCGAACCTGGGACAAAATCCTGACTTTAAACATTGAGCCACATCCAAACAGTGGCTCAAAAAATAACTTTTTTATGATTATCTGTAGTTATAACAAAAAATATAAATTTTATTTCTCTCCACATAATTATATAAATATTTGAATTAGTTCTTAATACGTCCATAATAGTAACAATATTATTAATAACCATTTGATTTCCACATCTTTATTCTTTGAGAGAAGATAATGTAAAAAACTAAATAATTCTAGGACATGCATACAAAATACCTACATTTATTTGCATCTAAATTAACTTCAATCCCCAAAACAGATCATGATCACAAAAGTTAAAACTCACTGGTCACAAAATTTAAAAGAACTGTCCATCCACAATCCTCAGAGATTGTTCATTAGTTGATTCAGAATCGTGTGTGCAAGATAACACAAACGATTACTAATATAAATAAACAAAACATTGGGTTACCGGTTTCGTTTGGAAAAACCTTGGCTGCTGGATAAAAAGGACTGCATAAAAGCTGTCTCGACCAATGGCTCCAACGCAGGTATTAGGCGAAAGAACAGATACAGGGTTTTTGAAAAAATCATTTTTATTCCCGGAACTCAATAAAACAATAAAGATACAATGCATTAATGTTTTATTCATATATTGGTTAAAAATAAACTTGAACTAAGTTGAATCACCTTTTATGTGACAAAAATAAAATTTTTCGGCTGAACTGCAAGTACGAGGGAATTTTGTTTTTCTTTAATAGTAATAATACTTGTTTGTTTTCGTGACATATTTTATTATTCCGTTTTCTGATTTACATTGAAATATTGGTGCTCTTTCATATTTATAAAAATGGCAGCTTAAAGACATTCTGCTATTTGCTTCAAAATTATGTACATTTCTTATCATAGAAGGGTTCTAATCACATACTTTGATTACTATACGAGGCAAGAGAGAGGTCCGACACGCCCAACATAGGGCGCGGCCCTTTTGAACCCTGTGACACAGTTTACAGCTAAAGAATCAGATCGCTCACTCTGCGTCGGCACTTTGGATCTCAATGTTTCAGTTTATACACTGTGCAACTCGGATAATACAATATATGACAACCGCCTATAATAAAACAGTAGTCTTCTGCGTATCCTGAATTTGTATCCCTGGAGTTGATGTTATTTTGGAACTTTCAACTAGTCCGAGTGAGCTAACTGATTCTTTAGCAATAAACTGTGACTTCAAAAATAATATTCACTGACACTGACAGCAGCAAGCAAAATATCAGGTGCGTTTTAATCATCCGCTTCTGCTTCCGGAATTGTCGGTTTAGTCGTTTTAACCTGTCAGATTAAAACAAGAAAAATGAATTCCGAAGCAGAAGCGGATGATTACAACGCACCTATTAAAAATATTGCGCCAAGATATAGGCAATACGTATTAAGGGTTCAAAATGGCGGAGTTTTCTATCTCCTTTTAAAAGGCACTCAGAAAGCTGCGCAGTGCGACCATTCTCCGTATAGTAAAAGAAAATCAAAGTATGTGGTTCTAGAACATAGAACACCCCCTAAATATTGACAGTTGACATAATTTCCTACGTTGCCACATACTTCGCATTATTTCTCGCTTGTGATTTTAGATTCACTCTTTTTCGAGAATACGATTTTTAACAACCATGCGAATTTGGTATACGACATTTGCTATGTGCGAAAATTTTACCCCAGGGGGTCGATTCTCGAGTTGTAGGAACCTTTTCCTATAGGAATTTGTGACACTTTCCTATATGTAGGGAAATGTCATACATTTTCGATGTATATAAAAATGTCAAAAATTCCTATAGGAAAATATTCCTACGAGTCGAGAATCGACCCCCAGGGGTAGAATTCTCGAGTTTCGCATGAAAATTTTCGCATGGTTCTTAAAAATCGTATTCTCGAAAATGAGTGAATCTAAAATCACAAGCTCCTCGTTTGGGCTGATGGAACAACTCTTCTTGCATTATCACATTGCCTTCTTCTATGGCTGTGATATTGTATGGATTTATTATCCATGGAAGAATTTGTAAATTTAAGAGATCCTCAAACCTCGTAGTAAAATGCTTGCGTAATGTGTTCAAGTGAGTGACATATGATAAAATAACATCGTCTTGAAGCATTTTTGGTAATTTTGACAAATGCGGAAACTGTGAATATTCTTTTCTGCTTAAATTTTGTCTATAAAGGATAATTTTACCCATATATAAAGGCCGATATTATTGATTTTGTTTTAATCAAGTTGAGCTCGTCACCCTGCAGCTGCAAATTAACTTTATTAAACGTATTAGAGATATCAGGCAAGTAATAAATATCTAATTAAGTAAATAAACAAATTGCTTTAAAATATGTTATAAAACTGTCTGTTTATGTACTATAATACTTTATTACTTACATATTTATTGCAATGTTGCATTTAACAATACGTCGGCGTCAGTTTGACAACAAAAAAATGCGATGAACTACAGATAATTATCATTATTTTTATTAATCTATTTTTTTGGGACTTTTAGGCAAATGGGGGCCCGGATAATTATCTTGCTACGGAGCCTCAGGCTGTCTTCTTTCTCTTATGGATTCTTCACAAGAAAAACTCATTTTAAATATATAATAACTAAAAAATATACCGACAATTAGCTTGACAGCATTACTTGTTTAAAACTCTAAGGAATATGAACATTTCATACTACTCTTCATTTATAAAACTGGAAAACAAAAGTGTATGGCATAATTATCTAGGAACCATGGTATCATAATATTATCTGTTATCAAGTATTAAAGCAAACAAATCATTGAATAATCTTTCAATTTGTTTCTTAGAGGGTTTCAAAATAAAAAAATTAATTTATATTTAAATTACATACCAAACTGTTCACAATAATCTGCTGTCACCACTTTAAAAAGTTACAATGCTATATGATTGTCGAAAACTGGATAGTGTTTTAAGACGTTTTTCATAACGTACTTATCAAAGGTTAATAAGGTCTGTTCATCAGAGCCTTGTTTATATAAACGTTCTGTATTATACACACAATAAATTTGTAATGTACCGAGTTGACCTTACAGATAAAATCTTAACGTCCATGTCCATCATATTATCTGGTGTAAAAATGTCTATAAAAAACTGTAGTGGAAAAAATAAGTTTTATCTCGAAAGCCCATATTATTATTTATCAGAAAATATTGCAAATAATAATTTTGATTTTATAGCTAAAACTTTTACTGCGATTAATATATGCATTACATTAATATTTCTTCTGTCCTTTGATCATGACTAGCAGTAGTGGTGAAGTGAGAGACAATCCTTTTCTATATAATTTGAAATTACTAACGCCCCAAGCCATCAATTGCTGGAGCCTTATTTAATTTAGGAGTATTAATAATCTTTGCTTAATTTAATTGTTTAAGCATTCAAAAAATGATGTTTGATTTTTATAAGTTAGTTAGTTAGTTAGGTTAATGGCCAGTTTCCCGTACATTTTGTTATTGAAAGAATAACTATCGGTCAGATAAAGTTATGTGTCCAATAAATCATAAACTGTTTATGAAAACTTATCTATGGATAACTATCGCTCGATAGTAATCAATCGTCTAACTAGATTTGATGTTTGACATATTCCCACTAGATGGACTACTTGTCATGTTTTTAGTTTAAATGTCAAATCGTATATCAGCAAATAAATTTAAAAGGTTTGTTTCTTCATAAAAAATATAATGGAAAATGGAAGTTCCAAACGTTCCAGAAACTTTACAGATGTTGACAAAAATCTGTTATTTGATTTAGTTATTGAGCACAGAGATGTGATTGAAAATAAAAAAAACGATGGAACAAGTGTAAAAGAGAAAAATGAGACATGGCTGGAATTAACTAACAACTATAACAGTAATTCTTACTGCTAAACAACTACCGTGCTCTGTATGACACAATAAAGAAAAAAGCAAGGAAAAATCTTCACGACGATAAGGTAAGAAGTAGTTTTTTTTTAATTATATTAATATCTGCATATACGTATTTTTTTATAGAAGAATTTATATTAAACTGGCGGTGGGACTTTTATTCCGCAGAGTGATGAGCTGGATAAGAAAGTCTGTACAGTTTTGAAACCACAATACCAACCTTTGCATAATAATTTTGACTCATCAGCTGAGTATTTTCGAGGTAAGAGTAGGATATCCAAAAAGTACAGTCTGGGGTTTCATAAACGACTGGATTCGGGAACAACATATTTACTATTGGGGAAGCACCCCAAAACAGGCATATGGAAAAGCCTTCATAGGCAGAACATGTCCCAAAAGAACTGAAGAACTACTCTTTATGAATAGGAACCAGTTGAAAGTGATAACAGGGTTCATGACTGGGCACCCCCAGTAAAGGGACAATTGAACAAAATTGGCATGTACAATAGGGAACTCATGTGCCGACTATGTCACAAGAAACCAAAAACGGCCAAACACATACTGTGCGAATGCGAAGCTCGAGATCGCAAAAGACAGGCTCTTTTTGGACAACCCCAGGTTGATCCAACAACGTATAGAACCCACTCACCCAAGGATCTGTACAAACTTGTACAAGATACAAAGGTGACAGAGTGGGTGCTATGAACTAACATGGGGTAAAACACAATAAGCCAATCTTCAGTGTTATTCAGAGACATAGTCAGACGAGCCCAAGAGAAAAAAAAGGTACGAGATAATAAATATTAATTTTATAACCATTTTTTTGTAGCCTCTACTTCTAGTAATAAGAAGAATATTCCACAGTTTGTGGAATTAGTAGAAATAATAGATGAAGCAAGTCATGGGATCGAAATAGTTCAGTATGAAGATATGCAAAGTTCCACCCGAAATCCTCAGTTGGCAAATACAGTATTATCGCAAACCAATCAGTCCAAAAGGCCATGCATCAGGTATAATGAAATAGATAAGGTGCCAAAGAAAACACGAACCGAAAGTGTTGAGCATTTATCAACAAGAATAGTTAAAAGAAAAAATTTTTAAAGAGAAATTAAATACAGATTTACAAAAAAAAAATAGAAGAAATTCTTAATATTGAGAAATTGGCAAAAGAAAATCAGCTAAAAGCAACAGCTGAGGAATTATTAAATAAAGAGGCTGAATTAAAATTAAAAGAAATGGAAGTAAAAAATATGGAACTATTACATTACTATTACATTACAGATGGCTTCGAGGAATGGAAGTTGAAAAGAAAGAACACGAAAAAGAAGGAAAATGCGTTGTACAAAAAATAATAATTTTTTAAATTATGAATTATTTTTTAAATACATTTTAAGTATCTAATATTTTATTTTAATAAAATAAATAAATGTATTTACAACTATTCTAACAGAATTCCTTTTCTGTCACAAAAACATTATTTAGGTTAGCAACTTCGCCTCAAAATCATTTCTTCGTTTTCACACGCCAAAACATCTCTCCACAGTATTGCGCGTACCAATATGTGCAGTATTATATCTTTGTTTTTCAGGTAGAAGAGGGTTTAGTAGATGTGTAAGTAAATATGATATGTACGCGTATGCACTATCTCACAAGTAAATATGAACCTGCAATTGTTCATTTTCTAATCAACGAAGCATTAACGTGCAACCACATCACATAAAAGTTTGCATCACATTAAAAAAAAGACTTTTCTATTGCGAAATAATTCAGCTTAAGTTCCTCCTGAAGACTGAATAGGTATGTGACTACCATATACAACCTATTACATTCGGAAATCCTCTTATATTGTAGAAATTGATCTTTACTCTCCAGGATTTTTGGCATTTTATAAATTCAGGTGCTTATAGGCCTATTGCTTTAGTAACTTTTCGTAGTACTTTACAAACAGTCCTATAAGGATTTGAAAGGAGCCTACAATTTGCATAAAATGGTAATAATTATGTTTTGTAATAAAAAGTATTTTGATATAGTTACCTCTTGCAAAACCTTTAAGATATCAGCTAGTAGATAAAGAACTATTTAGATATTACTATATAAATAAATAAATAAATAAATAAATAAATAAATAAATAAATAAATAAATAAATAAATAAATAAATAAATAAATAAATAAATAAATAAATAAATAAATAAATAAATAAATAAATAAATAAATAAATAAATAAATAAATAAATAAATAAATAAATAAATAAATAAATAAATAAATAAATAAATAAATAAATAAATAAATAAATAAATAAATAAATAAATAAATAAATAAATAAATAAATAAATAAATAAATAAATAAATAAATAAATAAATAAATAAATAAATAAATAAATAAATAAATAAATAAATAAATAAATAAATAAATAAATAAATAAATAAATAAATAAATAAATAAATAAATAAATAAATAAATAAATAAATAAATAAATAAATAAATAAATAAATAAATAAATAAATAAATAAATAAATAAATAAATAAATAAATAAATAAATAAATAAATAAATAAATAAATAAATAAATAAATAAAAAAAAAACACATTTATAAAAACTTATTTAATATATAACAAAACTTAAATTGTAACAAAAAAACTATTTTCCTAATCTTCCTCCTCTCAGAGGAATCTCGTCGCGGATCGTCGCGCTACTGGTCGTCGCAATTTTCCCGTTAATTTCGAATTTTTGCTTGTTAGATGTGTAACACCAAAAGCACGAACAAAAAGCCCAAAATATCGACAGGCATCCCAATCCTACAAGGATGTAGAACGTGTAATTGCAATATTCGGGGAAATTCTGAATGATCTTTAGGCTGGACGCTATGTCGTCCTTGAGGTTCACGTTTTGTTTGATGTAGAACAGAGGCAGGAACACTTTCGGCACTTTTTCGTATAATCTGAAACAAAAAAATTATTACAGAGAACTCAAACAATTATTAATAAGAATCGCCCTTTGGACTAATGTATTCAGTTGTATTTGTTTTTTGGATAATTTTATTCTGATTTAGGACTAAATATTTGACTAAATATTGGACTTAATGGATTAAATATTGGACTAAATATTGAACTAAATATTGGACTAAATATTGGACTAAATATTGGACTAAATATTGAACTGAACATTGAATAAAACATTGAATAAAACATTGAATTAAACATTGAATAAAACGTTGGATTAAACAAATATATTTTCGAACAAATAATGCATGTTTCCTATATTTTTTTTAGTTTTTTTTTTAAATATCTTTACGTTTTTACTTTTTTTGTAATTTCTTTTCATTTTTTATTTTATGTATGTTTTAGTTACTGGTCTTTCTATTATTTCTTAATATTTTTTTAAATTTCTTAACTCCATCCGATTGATTATATATTTGTAATTTGTATCTATAACTTACCGTACACTTCGGATTGGCTGTAGTAACATGTTTATCTGCATAACTAGCTGTATGTCCATTATAATACCAGATTTCTGCAAGAAATAATTCATATTAAAATCAATATTTAATAGTTGGCCTAAGCAATGAAACGTTTATTTGTGAAAAACTAGAATAAAGTACAAACAAGGGCGGGTCCAGGGGGGTCATAGGGGCTATGCCTATTTATTGGTCTATTATCATATTAGTTTGATACTATTTTTTTGAAATAAAAAATAAAATAGGTCAAAAAAATGTATAATATTTTAATAAATTAAAATTATCTTAAATTATGATATATATTGTGCTACAAATGATAAAAAAATGTATTCTCTGCTCTTTTTTTGTAATTATTGGCTCGAAAATATTTTTTGTCTTTCATAAAATATTCAAACAAAAAATACTGCGGAGTTAGATACCTACAAGCTACAGAAATACCGCAAGCTAGGAGAATCTTATCTAAATACATATCATGTTTCTAAGCACTTGTTAGATATTGTAATACACAAAAGATTCACTTCTGTTTTTGCCGTTGTAACAACAAGTTGTTCAAAGATTATTAATATTGTATTTTTTTAAATAAAAATAATATTTTTTAAAAAGACTTTTTCGGTTGTTCGATTCGTAATTGCGGAGACAACATATATATGCAATTTTAATATTCTTTATCATAAAATAAATGCGTCACTAAATATTACGCAATAAAAAACCTTCGTATTTTATGAATACAGAGTCTTCAACAATATTCGTATACCATGTGACTGAAGTGTTGCCATTAATTTCCTAAAAATAACATTAATTCGAGAGACGCTAAAATGGTGGTTCCCACCTTATCGAAACTGAGGCCCACAAGGGTAAACTCGTAGCGTAACAAAAACGAGAAATGATTTAACTTGGAACGAAAGATCGAAAGCCGATAGTAGTATTAAGACGTTGAATTTTTTGGTTTGTGAAGCATTGGCATTAATTGGTTAAACCATGTGATGATTTTCACAAGCCTTGATTTTTAAAATCATTTTATATCGCCTTTTGATTAGGGTTTACAAACTTATTTGAGCAATTTATTCAATAATAATTGGCCCCTTTACCTCTTAAGCCTGCTCATGTAAAATATTTGGGCTCCTTACTTCGCCTATTTATATAATATTAATAAAGGACAGAAGGATGAGTATTGCAACTATGTTAAAAGAAATAAATTGGCTTTTAGTTCAGAATTATGTTGAGTACATGACTGATATTTATTTATAAAATAAAAATGACATAGTACCATCGCAACAGATCTATTAGAAAAAATTCAATATAATTCGCAATATCACAACTATAATACAAGAAGCCAATCTGACTTTCATGTACGGCAAGCCATCACTAAAAGTTCCCAAAATACAATTTTTATTAAAGGTTTAAAAAATTTAATAGATTGCCTACAGAAATTAAAAAAAAAACAACAATAAATGCATTCAAAAGTAACCTCAAACAATACTTGATAAATAAACAGAATGGATATACTTTCTTGTGATAATACTCTTTAAACCTGCCCTTTTTAAGTATTTCCTTTAATTTATTGTTATTTTACCCCTTGTTTTACCCGCATTTATTATAAATTATTTCTGTTTTGAGATCATGTACTTTATTTTAAAAAATTACTTGATATTATATTAATACTACTTATTATGTTTAAATTATTAATAGTTTTGCGACGATAGGTTATAGCAACTTATAGCCACAACACTATTTTTGTGTTAAAGTATATCCATAGAGAGCAATGTAATTTACAAAGGCCTTCTTTCAACATACAAATAAATGACAACTTTATAATTAAAATAAAAAACACAACAAAATACCTCGGTACCAAGGTAAGAAGATTAATTTTTAAATTTTGGTTGAATATGTAATCCAAAATCGTATAATAAAAATTTTCTACAAAAAACCAGCATTATATCCTACCTCTCTTTTATATAATAGAAAAGTGCTTTGTATAAGAACATTAAATTATCTGGCTTGCTGTACCTTTATTTATGGAAAGCCTGAATTGAGATACACTACAAATTATATGCAATAAATATCAAAAGAAGTATACATTTTTAAATAGTTTGACATTTAAGAGCCATTCACACATTATACATCTTGATACTTGACAGGCAGAGTCAAGCATTATTCTGATTTTTGCCAAATAAAATGACCGGTTAATTATTCTATGGGGTTGCGACAGAGACCCAGTAAATTTGATGAAGGTGTTTTTGTGGCTAGGGGCGAAATAATAATACGCTTAAGTTAGCTCCACCATAAAAAAGTCCTTTTTAAGAAATTGCTTAGGTATATTATTTTCATAAATTGGCAGGCTTGGCTACTAATTTCTAATAAAAATAGCCTCCAAAATGGCTATGGTTGCAAGTATGAAGGTCGCAACCTGCCTTAGAAATTTCACCTTTACTATCAACAGTTGTTGTTTGACAGGTCGTTAGAGAATGTTTGCAACGTTTGTAATTTATGGAATTTTAAGAATGTTAGGAATGTTGACGTTAGAAATAATTGGAATTCCTAAAATTGTCACATAAGAAATGCATATGCGGATTTTAAGAAATAAGATATTAAAGTAGTTAGGATGAACCGAAAATTCTGAAAATCAATAGGGTTCTAAGTTAGAATTATTCAAAAAAATCAAAATCGCAAGTCAATCAAAACTTTCGTTCTAGAGTTATCGTGCCGGCATACATACACACAGACGACCAGACGAAAAATTTTTTTTTGCATTTTCGGAAACATGATTGGAAACATGAAAAAAGTGAAACGTATCAAAAAGGTATGCTTAAAAAACTAAGTTACTGCGACAGGTGATGGATTATTTATTTTTCTCCATGTGTACGTTAGACTTTTTATTTTTGGGATACTGAATAATCGGAGACACGTAGGTATATTGATGTAGAATCAGTTTATTTTGCCACGATATTTCCTTTCACATGAAATATAAAACCAATATACACATGTATTTTCGGGAGGAATTGGAAATTGTTTAAGGTGGAAGCGAAATAAGCAAAACATATATAAACGTGTGTATGGAATACGTCATAGACCAGCTGTACTCAAGCGTGTTTTCTTTCGGGCCACATAAATCTGTTTGTTATGCTACACGGGCCACAATATTGTGATGTTTGTTTATTTTAAACAACAGTTTATTTGTTAATAATTTATTTAAACACTTATTTATTTATAACACTACTATTCTAATTTATATATATTTCGAATGTTTTTGAACTGTCCACTATTTATATTCACCACTGTCTATCTACTAATTAACTCTCGCTTGGTCCTCCACCAATATTTATATACAAATTTAAAAAATTGACGAATGTGCTAGAAAGTTCACCTATTCTCACCAATACACCAGAAACATTATCCCATTCTTTTTCGAATAGTCATCGAAAGCTCCTCCACCATAGTCGTCACATATGTTTGGACTTAAGTGGTTTAATTATGTATGATAATCGGCCGAGTTGAGCCTCAAAGGCCAAATAAGACAGAGGGACTTGGAGGATTAGAGCATGACTGAATAATGAAATGGCTCACATTACAATATTTTTGGGCGATAACTAGAATTGCCACATTTTTGAAATGTAAATAAGGACAATGGGGATCCACTTTAAATATTTTCTAAAATAAAAAAAATAGTGTGTGGGGCTGCACAAAAAAGCTTGGAGGGCTGCAGGTTCAGTATGGCTGTCTTAGACTAATATGAACAGAGAAGAAATGAAGAACTTTCTTTTTGTATTTTTTCGTATAGTGAAATATGTTTCGAATTATAAATTTCTATCTATGGAGAAATATTGAAACACATTCATTCTACGTAAACGAAATCCCTTTTCATGTCTATTTTATATAAACGTCGTTCTTCTCTTAAATTTGCTTAACTTACACATTCCCTTTAAAATGAAATAGAAACGAATATATAATTCGGGTCTTTCATTTTCACTTACCGGCTCGATGGTGATGTAAAATTCATGTTTGGTTTTATCAGGCCGCATCCCCTTTATCGCGTCGGTGTAATAAGGATCGGCCTGGTAGAAATGCGGAAAGGATAGAAAACTCGGCGAATTATCCCTGCACGCGGACACGTTGAATACGCCCGAAGGAAGGCACTCGCCCTTGCAAAAACAGGCGTTCTCTGGACGCGTGGTCCCTGAAATATCAACAAATTATAATTATTAGAGAGTTAAAGCAAAAAATATAGAAATATGTAAATTCTATAATGCATTTAAAAAACTCTTATATAATAATACTAATTGAGCCAAAAAAGAGCCTCACTTTATACATTTTGATTCTACAGAAACTGTACAACTAAGATGAAAAATATTGTAAACAAAACGAGTGTATTATCAAAAGAGATAAAATTTACTGACCGTTGTCAAAAATATTATCCGCCGTATATTTGTATCCTTTAACGCCTTTTATCACCACATCCTCGACATATTCGAATTCTGCGTATTTACAGAGTTGATCCGAGTAGAGGATCAACTTGTCCCTCTTGCGATTAATGGGATAAAATTCGCCCGACGATCCTCGGATGTCGTTGCAGTGTCCTTCGTAGAATTCCGTTCGGTTTTTAAAATTCCAGGTCAGGATCTTGCCGAAATCCTCATCGTTGGCGTAATGCATGCTGAAAAAGCCTTCTTGACCCATCGTGTTGTTTTTCTGAAATTCGATCAAAATCATTGAATGGAGATTGTTTCAGAAATATAACTTTGTAATTTATTATACAAATAGGAGTGACCGATTTTAAACCTAAATGCACAGCTTCTTAATTGTTACCTATACGTTTTTTTTTTAAGTTTGTTGAACAAACTTTATTCAGTTTATCACATCCAATACAGGGTGTTCCACTAATGTTAGGTAAGGTTAGGTTGAAAATGAGTGGGATGATCTCATCGCCTTCTACTGGGACCCAGATGGATCTATTGTGGCTCATGTCTAACTTATAGTTCACCGTACAAGCCACATCTTTTTATTTTCAAAAACAACCGAGATATTGATTTTCCACTCACTAATAAGCAACACTGTATATTCCATATATAAAGTCTATACTTTATTTCTGTACAGGAAAGTAAAAACAATTCAACAAAATGCTGAAGCGCTTATTGGAAATTTTTTGAATTTACATCTAATAAATCTAAAATTTGTATAATTCATTATTTTTGGATTTCCCCTTTATTTCCATTAAATATTTCACAAATTTCATTCTTGATTATTGGTTTTCTAAGTGATGCAGGACTTTTTATCAGGAATTTTTTTTTTGGAAAATGAATAATAAAAACAAGTTCAATTTGTAAACAGCTTTTTCAGACAACAGGATGATAAAAATGTTTAAAATCGAAATAGAAGAATAATTTTTTTTCCTGCGACAGTTTGACTTGTTTAAATACAGTAAACGACGAAACAAAAACAACAATTTAGAAACAATTTATGAAAAAATCCAAAACGATTTGTTTACAAAATACATCACCGACATATTTTTCGAAAAATCGATATAAAATGTTCATCGTGATGTCGTTACTGGTATCAATATTTCGTGTTAATTTTTCAAAAATACCTCAAATTATCTATTCAATTTTTTATCTAGCAATGTTATTTTTTTATCAATTAATTAAACATTCGAAAAATTATATCGAATATGTAAAATAACTTTCGACATGGAACGATAATTTTTGCAAACAAAAAATATACACGGTGTAACATAATACATTGTAGATATTTTAGGTGTTTAGACTAAATAATCATAGATGAAGAGTGCAGGAGAAAAAGGGACCAAGTCACAATTACCAAAATGTTCAAGAAAGCAAATTTAAAGTTTGAAGACTGACTAAATAGAAACTTTTGATACTTTGAGGTAATTGATTACAAAAAGATGTTACCTTGTATATTGCTCTCTGATTATATCTTAGTTTATCACTTAATTTACTACGACAGATGTGTTTCTTAACGCTCATTTTAACTCTTTATTTGGCTTATTTTTTCATAAAAATACATATATTTTACAAAAGAATGTGGTATCATTTCAATTTTAACAAAAATGTGACTTAGGACCGATTCCACCGTTGTGTTAAATAAATTACTTAGCGAAGATTAAAATGACATCGTTAATGTAAAAATGTAATTTTAAACTTCGCTTAACACGGTGGAATCGGGCCTTACTCCCTTTTTTCATGTACCACAGAAGAGAGAAGAATATACAGAAAAGAAACATAGAGCTAGTTCCACCATAGAGATACTCTGAGAAAACGTAACTATTCACAATATACCTAGCTCTGTGGTGTATTCTGTGAATAGTTACGTTTTCTCAGAGTATCTCTGTGGTGAAACTAGCCCTATGTTTCTTTCTGATTGTTCTCTACTGTGCATGTACCCTTCATATATACTTTAATCATCTTTTAACAAAATGTGAAAATACTAATATAGTAACTTAGACAATTTCAATTTATTTAGAAAATACTGAATTTTGTTACACCGTGTTTAACTCGAACAGACGACCCACCTTAAAAACGAGGTGGTCGGTCAACTTACACCATAAAATATTCCAAACTTATCCTGGACGTTTAAAAATGGAAACTTCGATAAAGTACCTAGGATGGGTTCCTCGTAACCCTCGAACAGGATTTGCGAAACGTTTTTCGTCACGTAGAGACTAGAAACACTCGACAGCGTGGCTGAAATAACACGCTTCGTCCACCAGCTTGCGTGTCTTATTTTGTACCCTATTGTCTGAAAAAAAAGTGATCAAAATTAATAACATTTTAAAATAAAATTTGTTAATATATTTTGGGCAATTATAAATTTAAAACCAAAAACAGTCTAGTTATTATTTCGCCTTGTTTTACAGGAACTAGGTACTTTGCTTCCTAAGTGCAGATGGCGTCACCATTTTTTATTTGTTAACTACCTATACTTTCTCAACCATGTTTATACATATACATCAAGCAAACTTTATTAGAGAGTTAAGAGACTAAAAACTGAAGTCGTGATTGTCTAATTCTTACTGGTGAATCCCAATAAGGACGAAACCGGTCACTGGTCTAAGAATGACGTCAGGAATCAAAATCAAAGCTAGATGTTGAAAATTATTTCCTGTCTCTGCTACATTCCTTTTGATATAATGCAATCAATGCCTGTTACGGTATTAGTAAAAGGAGTAGCAGTTGTTTTCAAGGGGGAAACTGATTTTGTTTTTAATTTTAAGTTGGTCACATTTGAGAATTTATTTCCTCTAATAATAAATTAGTTCGAACTAAGAATCTTCGATGAATATTTATGCGACCATAGCATTTATTTTCTGAACATTCTCCCTCGGAGCCCTTAGGAAACGAGTGAAAAATTATAGCTACTCCTCAAGGAATAATAAATCCTGTTAGAAAAGCTTCACATATCCGTCGAGACATATGTATGCTAAATGGATGCTGTAAAAACAGTGAATAATTCATTTCTATGTCCCACAGTCCTTCGCATATTTGTGAAAAGATTCCCTACATTGGTTTTTTTTTATCTACCTCGTACATAAACGTATTAGTTTTATTCTAAAAAAATTATGTATATCATGCAAGTAAATTTTATTTTTATTGTCGAAAATAAATAGGAAAAGATTTAACTTATCTGTCTGACCTCTAATAATCATTGTGTTATTTATTATGTATTTTTTGTTACCATTTTTCAATAATCAATGTTTTTGTGCTAATCAAAAAGAGTACAAAGTGCTCTATGTATACTTTTATCGGTACATTAATTAAGTATCAAGTGAATCTTTTAATAGTTGAATCATTGAATAAATTAACATTTTATATGCAGTGCTTGAGTACCTATCTCATAAAAATTGATAGACACACTTTAGGATTTACAAGGAACAAGTTTAAAATTACCATATTATACTTACCAGCGGTACAATATTAATAGTAGATATCACATCGTTTAATTTCCTAACACTATTCTCCTCATCGTAAAAATACAACTTCTTATACGCATAACTTATAGTACTATTATGCTCATGCCACGTTATATTAATTTTCTCCTTAATCTCTTTGAAAGTATAAGGCCCCACCTCCTCGAACTCAGGCTTCACGTCGGGATTCCCTATTTCTTCGGGGTTGGTCCAATTGAACACGTAGATATCCATCCTCAGAGGAGGATCGTTCGTTTGCCATGCTAAGTAGGCTTGTGACGTAGGCGCGAACCTTAAGGCTTCTCTCAGTATGAATTCGTATATCGATTCGAAGAATACGAAAATCGAGACGCCCGCACTTATGAGTATGATGCCCGCAAGAAGCAGGCATATCTGTCCGATTTGGCGTCTGCGGCGTTTCATCTTGGAGCTTCTGCAATGTAAAAGTTTTAATGTTAACAACAACAACAAATTCCTTTGGCCAATAAATACCTCACCAGGTATTGAATTAGGTCAAAAGAAAAAACAGAGATATAGAAAATATTTTCAACACTTTATTTTTGATTTTGCCTACAAGATATAGGTAATATGTAATGGAGCACGTCGTTAACAACAATATTTAGATAGAAGAAGTCAGTTATTAGTAAATTAGTAAATAAGAATATAAAACAGATGAAAAAAATCAAAAATAATTTTTATTTGTAAAATTTGAGACACACTGTATGTTCATTAAGCAGACCTTACTATTTCTAATAATTATATCACTTACGCCATCTATTTTTGAAATAACTTATAAATTTACAATAAATTATAGTAAGAAAATAACTTACTTCAAACTACCACTATATTGTTCTTATAAACACTCAACACGTATATCTACAAGCAAAGTTTATCTATACAACATTCTAAAAATTATAATTATTTATTTATTAGTCCAATAATAATAGTCGGTTATCATCTTGTTAACATAGAACTCAAACTGACATCAAATGGAAAGGAAATCATGACGGAATAATAACTGAAACTCGGGTTGTTATCTGTTTAACCCTAACCCATAACCTTTTTTAGCGTAATCTCCGACCTCCAAATCTTTTTTTTTTTAATAAACGCCATTCGCACAGATAAGCAGTAGTCAATGGAATAATTTTTATGCTTACAATTTAGAATTGAGACAGAAACAATCTCAAAATAATATATCTTTAGAGTTCTGATGTTATAAGATAGTTGCTTGTTACTACAGGGGGCTAAAAAGGGCTATAGAGAACTACAAACGGCAATTTGTCGCACCGAACGAATTAAAACTAACAATTTTTCATTTAAACAGTCACATTCTTACAATACTTTTCATTAATATACAAAACAGGACATACACCTTACGTATGGGTTGAGAGTTGCAGATTACAATTCAGAGCTAGAAAGCGATATAGAAAACTACAAATGCCAATTTGTCAAACTGAACGGTTTCTAATTGTTTAAAAACGAAAATTAAATTCTCAAAATCAGTAACAAACAAATTATTTTTTTTATTAAAAACTACTTGTTAACTGGGTAATGTTAACACACGCAATCGGTTTCGCTTCAAAAGCCATCATCAGGCCTAAAATAGAAGGGAAAACAGGTTCTTAAAAAAATTACAATGAAAAAATTAGTAAGTAATATATCTAGACGAAAATTCATAATCATATAAGCAGATGATCATGCACATGTAAAATAAAACTTATAAGTGATGTTAAATGGTTGTATAGGTACTTGGAAAAACTAACTAAATATTCCTTAAGGATAAATTGAAACGAAGTGTGTGAGAAAATTAGTGGAATGTGGAATTAATGGGTAGTTTGTTCAACAAAAGGTCTAGGTATTAGTGACCAAAGACCAATCTGAGGGCTCTAATATATTTGTTCTTCAAGGTTCTGCTGTCCTTAGCAGAGCAGATTCTTCAATTGAGTTATATTATCATTTTATATTAATTATAATCTAATCACATGACGCCTGTGCATGATTAGAAAATTATAAGATTAAAAATTGTTGAAAATTAATAAAATATTGTATTACAAATAAAAGCTATTTCTTTATATAAAATGATAATATAACTCAATTGAAGAAGATTGAGAGATTATATTAATAGATAACTAGGTAAAAATAGGTGAGTTAATACAAGTACAAAATGGAGACCAGTAAATAATTGAAGAAAGTGAAGAAATTTGACATTAATGATAGCTTTCATAAAGGTAAACAAAAATAACCTATAATAAATATAAAGTGTTATATTTAAGTTGGCAATCATGTAGTTGGTTTTCGGAACACAGTTCGACATGACAGTCGACAGCGCGCATCACGCAAGAGTCGGCAAGAGTACAGTCTGTCTTGTCCGTCTCAATCATTGAGATAGAATAAAGAGGAGATGCTATGACGATGCTAAATTGTCCGCACTTTTGTATTACATTTTTACGTCAATGTCAAATTCGAGATAATGTAGCTGGTCGGTTTTGGTGAGAATAAATGCCATTTTTCTTTAAATAGTTTCATATAATGATATAAAATTATTTTCATTTAGTCAGTCTTTAAATATAAAATTATTGACTTCAAATAAATCAAAGTACGACTCAAGTCGCCATTTTGATTACACTTTTCTGTCACTTAAAGTGAGTCCATTTTGTCATATCGCAAAATAGTGTTTATGTCGTCTCTACTTTATACTATCTCGATGGTCTCAATCGTCTGTATCTTGTCATGATGGTCATTGTAGTTTTGTATTGTCTTTAAGAATTAAATAACTTAGAAAGTCTTGTCTTTGTCTCGTTTAATACATAACATAAAAACAAGTATTAGAAATTAAGAATTTAAAAAAACCGACTTAAAAACGTGCAGATGCCATCACCACATCTTAACCAAATTTATATGGAACCACCCCTGAGGGTCACCCTTACTAACAAAAAAGAATCATATAAATCGGACAAGGTAGTAAAGCATTATCGTTAAACATACATAAAAAATGAAGAGTTTGAGGGTTTTCTCATGGACCCAATTATTAGATTTAGACCAAATTTATATTAGACCACCCCTGAAGTACCCCCTTTCTAACAAAAAAAGAATCATTCAAATCGGATACCGTGTTAAAGAATTATTGCTGAACATACATAAAAAAAATTGCGACGGATTGAGAACTCCTCCTTTTTTCAAGTCTGTTAATAAAGTAAAAGGATTAACAAGATAAAATAGGGATTAAGAATGATTCTTGTACTTTTGTTAATCTTATAATTTCCTAATCATATGCGCAGGCACCATTTTCATATCCACCATCTTGTTCACCGTAAGTTAAGTCAAATCAACACGTGGTGTTGAGTACCTACTTCTTTAATTATATATTTACTTGAGCGTTACGTTTGGGTTCAGTTTTTTCTAGTGATCACATTGCTGGCTGAATGTTATCTACCATCACCGATTTGTGGGCTATTATAGCCTTCATCATGCATACCATGAATTATGTTGGCTCCTTAGATTAAAGAGACCGAAGATGTAACATTGCACACTGCACATGTTGTCTATTTTAAGCCAAAGTAACCCACCAATTGAAAATCATTGTTGCACGACGCCACCCGAATTGCTCCGATTTCCATTCAGCGATCACCTCCACCTGAGTTTAATCACCATTGACAGCTGTTTTTTGATTTATTTGTTGGTATTTTAGCAATTTAAAGTGTTCTAGTTCAATTTCAAGTTCAAAATGTCACGATGTATCTTGAAAAATTGTATGTACTTATAATACAAGTACTACTGTTATGAATATATTCGTTTTCAGCGGTAAATATTTATTAACGTTTTGACATAAAGCGCCATGATTCTCTGGGCTGAATACTTCAGATCCGCATTAAGGGGTTTCAATAAATATTAAGCATCAGAAATCAGATATCATATTACTTAACATAAATTTACAAAAGGGTAAAATTTTGAACATTTAATTTAAATAAATAGTAAATAGGCATTATTGCTAACGAAATTTTGTATTTAAAAAGTAGTTTTATAAGAATGTTTTCTAAAGGTAGTTTTTAGCCCTTTTTGGTAGATAAATAAGAGGTAAAGAATCATAGTTGCTAGCTAAATTTTATTTTTATAAGGTATTTTTATAAGAATATTAGATGAAATACAGGATGACCTACTTAAAATTTCAAGGTTCATCTTATTTGCGGTCAAATCGAAAGTGACATTGAATTTTAAGTCTTAAAACAAAGTAATCTAGTATAAGCAAAAAAAAATACTAAAGTTACAGGAGTTAGGTCCGATTCCACCGTTGTGTTAAACGGAGATTAAAATGACAGTGTTAATGTAAAAATGTCATTTTAAACTTCGTTTAACACAACGGTGGAATCGACCCTTAGTCACGTTAATAAAATGTTACATTACAAACCCCTAAACAACTCGAACATCATTTTCGTTTACTAAAAAAAATCCAAAATTTATCAATATTTATTTATTATACAATCGAATGCGATTTCAAAGATAACTGGATCAAAAAATCCGAATCTCTAAATTTTGGAGCTAAATGCTCAGATAAAAGCAAGCGACCGATAGGGGTTACAAAAATAATCGATTTATCGATAATTCTGATATTTTTTAATGAAAATCGATTTATCCGCTGTTTTTAATAAATTATTTTCGTTTTTTTTAAGATAATGTATTAATCGATTTTAAAGGAAATACAAAAAAGTAGATTTATTCAAAATAATCGATTTATCGTTTAATCGGTTTTTTAATTATTTGATTATTTTCGATTTTTCAAAGATATTATATGAAAATAATCGATTGGATATAATCGGTTATTTTACATAATCGATATTTTGGTTATTTTTTTAAAATTATCGATTTATTGGATAATCAGCTTTTTAATAATCAATTATTTTCGATAATCAATTTCAAATAAAAGGAAATATGAAAAAAGGATTATTAGAAAATAATAGATAATTCGTTCTATTTTTTGGAAAATCGATTTATCATAGAATCGGCTTCTTAATTAATTGGTTATTTTCGATTAGGCGATTATTTTGGAATTTTTGATTATTTTTGGTATTTCAAAGATAATCGAATTATCGATTTTAAAGGAAATACAATAAAAATAGATTATTGATAATAATCGATTGATCGAAAATTATCGATTATTTAAAATAATCGATCATTCTGTTTTTTTTGAAAATCGATTTGTCAGTTAATCGACTTTTTAATTAATCGATTATTTTTGAAATACAATAAAATAGATTATTGGTAATAATCGATTTATCATAGAATCGGCTTCTTAATTAATTGATTATTTTCGATTAGGCGATTATTTTGGAATTATCGATTATTTTCGGTATTTCAAAGATAATCGAATTAACGATTTTAAAGGAAATACAATAAAAATAGATTATTGATAATAATCGATTGATCGAAAATAATCAA